TCACAATGAAGCTGAACATCAAGTTTCTTATTAACTGACTCTTTACCATTTCTCATGGGTGCTCATACAACATCAGGTCATAAGAAGGATCCGCTCTCATTTGGGTGGACTGAGAGATATCGGGTGGCTGTTGGTGTAGCAGAGGCATTGGAGTATCTGCACAGTAGAGGTGCTCAACCTGTGATCCATAGGGACGTAAAATCATCAAATATACTACTATCTGATGATTTTGAGCCACAGGTGGTGTAATTTAACCCTTCAGGTGTCAATTAGATTACAGATTCCATGTTTGATGCTCATGCTGTGTTTTTCTTTTCAGCTCTCTGATTTTGGACTTGCTAAATGGGCATCAACCACCTCGTCATATATAACATGCACGGATGTTGCAGGAACTTTTGGGTTTGTAACTTCAATAACTTCCAGAACCTGTTCAGATTCTTGTTGTAATCAAAAGAGATATAGGAGTCCCTGTAATGTTCTAGGAAGACTCTTTTTTCTTTTCTTTTCTTTTTTTTTTTTTGCTGTAGAAGAAAGAGTCTAAATTGACCAAAGGTGAAAAAAGAGTCTTGATCATCTAAGAAAATGTAGTACATTCTGCATTTTTTTATTTTATTACTGGTCATGAAATTATTTAGTGACATACATTTTGGTGCAGGTATTTGGCTCCTGAATATTTCATGTATGGAAAAGTTAATGACAAGATTGATGTCTATGCGTATGGTGTAGTACTTCTTGAGCTTCTTTCCGGAAGAAAACCCATATGCAGTGACTATCCAAAGGGCCAAGAGAGCCTGGTTATGTGGGTATGTCCTCTATGCCCGTTGGTATAGTCAACTTGGAATTTATTTCTTGATCTTGACTTGTAATGAGGAATATATCATGATTTCCAGGCAAAACCAATTGTAAACAGCGGAAAGTTTACCCAATTACTAGATCCAACCTTAGACAGTAACTATGACCGCGAACAAATGGAGAGAATGGTTTTAGCTGCTACTCTCTGTATCAGACGTGCACCACGAGCTCGGCCGCAAATGAGCCTCGTAAGTCATCTTTTATTTCTCTTAGTTAATCCCTCTCTTGTTAACTTTCTGATTCCTTGTCCACATCCGGCACTACTGTAAAAACTGATCTAAGGAATGCTAAGCATTCCCTTAGGTGTTTAAAGCATGCCCACCAATTAAGTTGAATTTCCGTCATTGCATATGGCCAGCTATCTTGGACAACTACCTCACCTAAATTCCGTACAATGGTATCTTGTGCAACTTATCAGTTGAGCTACTGTTGGTTACATCCTGTTTTTTTCTTGGCTACCTTGCCTTCAATCATAAACCATAGATGGCAATGTAATAGTCGTATAAAATTTCCCTTAGTATTTGACAACCCCTCTTTACTTGCATTACTTTTATCCTCTTTATGCTGCCTTGTTGCACAAGGATAATTGAGCTGAGGGCGCAAGAAAGTAGAAGATGTCCATGTTGTGTGGGATTTTTTTTTTTTTCCTTTGCATTTCCTTTTGCTTTTATAAGACTGTTACATGCCTCCCTCACTCCACTTGATATGGTTCCTCATAGATAATGTATCATCATGGCGATAAGGTCCTCACTTTGACAATGCCTGTGCACTTATATTTTATTTGGTTTTTGGGACACAGACCCATCCTTACTATCTGTATTCTTATCATTTCAGGTTTTGAAGCTCCTCCAAGGTGATGTTGAAGTAACCAACTGGGCAAGGCTACAAGTGAATGCTTCAGAAGGATCTGATGCAATGCTGCAAGCTAATGCATTGGAAGGGTCTGACGCAGTGGATGATGAAGCCTTTTCACGTTCAAATCTCCAGTCGCATCTTAACCTTGCGTTGCTTGATGTGGAGGAGGTTCTCTCCATCAGCAGCATCGAGCAAAGCATCTCGTTAGAGGACTACTTGCAAGGCAGGTGGAGCCGCTCATCGAGCTTTGACTAACCACATTTCTGGCAAATTGCTATTTTCTGTGGTGTAATTCTTTTGTATATTCAATTTTCATTTTCATTTTCTTTTTTAATCTCCGGTTGGCTTCACCCTTTTTCTGGGATGCTTACTGATGGGTCTTGGATGAGAGGTTGTTTGCAGGTGTGCCCTCCTCCTCTCCCTTAGTGGTCTTGACTTAGTTTCCCTGTTTGATGTGACAGTTTTGTGGTGTTTTTGAGTCAGTTTTCAATTCTCTTTCAAATCTGGATTGAGAACTGTACTTCAATTGTGATTGTATGAAACTGTGTTAAAAGTGAGTACAAGAAACTGTTGTTACCCAAACATCTAAAGAATGTTAATAAAAGCTATGCTTCTGGTTTTGCCTGTGTACTGATTAATCTGTTATTTTACCCTCTGTTTGGGTCGTGGATTTATTGAGGGAAAGGAGGTGGAAACAGGAAAAGGAAGGGAAAGGTAAATTCCATCATATTTTCTCTTAATAGTTAGCGGCTAGAATTGGAATTTATGAATTCCTCAAATTTGATCAGCATTATAATACAGAAGGGAAATGAAGCATTATATGGAGATTTTTTCTTTTACTTTCCCTCATCTTTTCCCTTCTTGTTTTTCAATGCAGCCAAACAAAAGAAAATGCTCTTTCTTTTACATTTTCTTTTCTCTTCCTGTCTAAATTCATGTGCCAATGGAGCAGTAATGAGCTAACCTAGTCTGTCTAGTTTATAGTAGGCTTTTTAAATAGATCGATTTTGATGTGATTAATCAAATATGAATTGACATTTTGACATAGTATTGAATTTTTAACAAATTCGGGTATGATATGTGGAATATTGAAATCCACAATATATGATAATTGATTTAGACTCGGTCGCACTTCAATTCAATCCAAGTACGAATTGAGATGCCCAAGTTTTTAGGCAATGTTGGGTTATCCTTCCCTTTCTGCTTTTTGTCATGGAATGGCTGCCTGCCTTTAGTCTCTCCATGGAAGCCACTCCTTTTGTTCCATCAAATCTTTTATCAAATGACCACGTTATGATAAATCTCTATCATTTCCAAGTCATCATGTCTCTCACACCACATAAAAAACTGTTGTTAAAGCTATGTATCACCAATAAAGTCCTTTTCATAAGAAATTGACTCATCAATCCCCTCCATCTCACCAACCATTACATATAAATCTTTTATTTTATTCATCCACATATTTTTTTAGCAAGGGCTCTATGAATACTGCCACTTGCATTTAGAATTGGTACTGCAATATATATATATATATCCAAGTTCAGATAATCTATATGGTGAGGGACTCAATAGTAAATAGTGAGTTCTAATTGGCTTCATGATAGGTTGATAATTTATCATTAAAGTGCAATTGACATAAAATATAATGGAAAGTATCACAATCCATAGTTCTTAATGGAATACTCTCTTTCTATATCTTTTAAATGGATAATGGACAGTTTTACCCTGAAACTTTTGCCATCCCTTGCTTCATGGATTTCAAAAAGGAAAACTGACTCCAATTTTCATGCCCTACTCACCTAGTAGTTATTATGTGTTTCAATAACTTTTTTACTTTTTTAGAAGTTGAGTTCCCCACCAATAAGCAAAATCATTCACTCAGTGAGGTCCCACTTATAAATAATGAAGTTTACTTATGGGTAAGGGTGGGACTATTCTCGCCAATTAAATCTCATTTTTTATCTCATTTAATCATCTTACATCAAACTATTAAATTCACTCCATCTATACCCATCTCATTTATACTCTTCAATTAAACTATTAAATATATGTCAAAGAAACTGAAACAAAAATAGTAGTTGAAGTGAAATTTCAATGTTGCAAAGTGTTTTGAAATATTTTGATATACTTTCACCGATGCCTTTAGAATATTTTAAGGTGTTTTAAGATATTTTAGTATATTTTGACTAAGGTTATCTGTAATGTTGACTCAAATTTGAGTTAACATTTAAGAAAAAAACTTGATTTGATATAAGATATTTCAATGGATAAACTAAAATTCAAAGTCGGACAAATTCAAATTTAAAGGAAAGTAAAATATGATCATTGGATCTTTTAAAGAGTGAAATTTAACTATTAAAGATTTGAGTAAATATTTGAATTTCCCTTAATTTAAGTAAAAAATTAAGTCTCTCTTCATTTGGTATAGATTTAAGTAAAAGACTTGAACTTATTTTTAATCTGTTTGAACTAAAATTTAAATTTGATTAAGGGTTTGAATAAGGATCGAAGATGCCCTAATATTTTAAAAATAATTATTAATTTTATTAATTTTTATTTTGTTTCTAAAATATTTTTGTAATGAAATAATACACCAAAATAAAATCTTGATCATTGTCTATATAGTAGGTTGAAATAAAATTGAATGAATTTAATTTTTAATTACTGAATATAGACGATGGTGGATTTAGTAACTAATGTGGGGTAAACACAGTATCTTGAAGTAAAATGATTAAATAAAGTGGGAAATGAGATTTAAAGGGTCGGAATAGCCCCATCCACAATGAGTCCCACTTGAATTCATCGCAGATGGTGTACTAGAAGAAAAATAGAGAGAAAATATAGGGCTTTCACATTTTGCATCCTAAAAGATGACTCGATTCTCACTTTGTACTCTAAAAGGTTTTTTTTTTACATTATATCATAAATGTCATAAATTGGTTCTAATATGACCCTCGAACTAACATCTATTTCAGATTCCGTTAAAAATTGATGTACATGTCACCCATGTGTTTTACTCTTAAGCAAAAATATAAACTCACAATTAATATCCTTAGGTGGCATGTACATCAATTTTTAACAGAATCTAAAATAGATGTTAGTTTAAGGGTCATATTAAAACTAATTTATAACATACATGGTGCAATATGGAAAAAATAATCTTTTTTGGTACAAAGAGGGAACCAAGACATCTTTTAGGGTAGAAAGTGCGAAAAACCCTTTTTCACAATTCTTCATAGTACACACATTCCTCTAATAAGAACAAGAAATCTTATCCCTAAAATAGAGGACATAAATTCCTTGGTACTTTAGACAAAATTTCAGAAAAAGAAAATCAGCAAGACCCCAAAGAAAAACTACTGCAAAAAACTGAGAAACTGAAAGATTATTCTTCCCAATGGCAGCAACTTCCTCATACATGGCTTCAACAAAATTCTCCATGTTGGATTGGACAAGAACCAAAAGAGAACCGATCAGAAAGAGAACTGTTTTTCCAATTTCAGCTCAACAAACTGAAGTTCAAGAAGAAATCACAGTAAAAGAAAACCAAGGACAAGAGGAAAATAAGCAACAGCAGACAATGAAGCCACCAAGGCCAGTTGAGCCACAATTGAATGTGAAGAGCAAGAACATGAGCAGAGAATATGGAGGCCAGTGGCTCAGCAGCACCACCCGGCACGTCCGGATATTCGCAGCCTACATTGATCCAGTGACCTATGAATTTGATCAGACACAGATGGATAAACTCACCCTAATCCTCGATCCAACCGATGAATTCGTCTGGAATGCAGAGACATGCACTAAGGTTTATTCTTACTTCCAAGAGCTTGTAGATCACTACGAGGTAATTTTCTCATATGATATAGAAAATTTAGTGGCCATTGCATGTTATAGTTATCCTTCTTTTTTGCATGTTTTTTAGAACTGCTGGTCATATTTGGTTCAATATGAGTACAGTAATGGAAGTTTGATGATAAGTAAAAGGCCTAATAGCAAATAATTTTTTCTCAACTATATTTGTTTGTTTAGCAGATAACAAATGTCAAGTAATAGACAAGGTTATGTCTTGAATGTTGTAAGTATTTACGGCAGAGAGAGAGAGAGAGAGAGAGAGAGAGAGAGGGGATTGAAACCTTAGGAATGCCCAATGTTGTCCTAGATTTGGATATTTATGCCCTTATATAGGAAATTGACCTGTAATTACCAGATGTTTTAGGTTGGGTTGGTGCCTAGTGAGAGGCAACTACATTTTAGACCCCCTGTAGATTGCTAATAAACAGAAATCATTTTATTATTAAAGAGTAATAATGACAGCCTTGATGGGGGTTTTATGGGTATTTTAAAATTTTCATGGATCTTAAATTGTGTTTTTCACCAAAAACCAATAGCAATTCAGCAAAACAATGTCCATCCCTACAAATAAACAGAGATGTAGGGTTAATAATCGAGCCGAACTTACTAAACTTTGGTATGCTCGGGCTCAGCTTAATTGGCATCTGCACTTTTTCAGTTAGGCAATTCTCACTGTTCACAATCACACCAGCAAAACAATATACATGTTTGTATATTTGTTAAAAAAATTACTCCAATACATGTTTCTTTGCAATCATTATTCTCTCTTATTTTGTGAATTGTGAGACAACAACACCACATATGGAACCAGGGAGCTCCATTGACGGAGTACACGCTTCGTCTGATTGGTTCAGATATAGAACACTACATAAGGAAGCTGCTATATGATGGAGAAATTCAGTACAACATGAACGCAAGGGTCCTGAACTTCAGCATGGGAAAACCACGGGTTGGATTTAGCTACAATGATGGTCTACTTCAAGACTCGAGTTAATAAGTTCGAACCAGAGAAGTAACATCTGAACCCAAAGAGAGGCAAAAAGAAAATATTATGTTGTCAGGAACATGTAATTGTAAATACACTGTGTAAGCTTCACTGGTTTGTACCAGACGGGTGGTGAAGAGAGGTTATGTGCAAAAAATGATGACACTTAGACTGGCCCATCACAGCCAAGGCACACTTCAAAACCATGCCTACAAAAATTCTCACCTACCATTTTGCTCATATTGAATTATTTCCTTCAGAATCCCGAGATATTGGAAACAGCAGCAGAGGCAGAAACTTCTACCGAGATCCTGGCACCACTTCTAGACATGAGGGGTCTTGCCAAGGTCGGAATGCATCTTCATGGGACAAATTCTGATAACAGACACCAAATATAGGTGTTAAAGGATGCAACTATGTATTCTGAACCAATTAAGAATAGGGAAGTAATAACATACCATAAAAGGATTTGTCTTTGTGCGTGAATGTGTGCAAATATGATTCAGCGTCAATATACAATATAAGTTCATCAAACATCAAAGGAGCCCCCTTTGAAGTTTATTATTCTCTCTCTCACTTGCTTTGTTGAATGACCCCTCTCACAACAAACCATACAACAATTTCTCTTCTTTTGTAAATCAGCAGCAATACAAAATTCTCCTTTTGAAGTAACAATGAAGTAACAATTTAACTTTGTACATAATTGTTTGGATGCAAGAGAAAAGGTTCTCCATCAAAGACAGCTGTCCCAGTAGGAGAAAAAGCTCAACTGAAATTTCTTAGGCCCTGTTTGGTAACATTGAAAAACGAAAAACGAAAACCAAAAACGTCTTTTTTTGGTTTTTGAAAATCGGCCCTAGTTTACAAAACGGTGACAGAAACGAAAAACAAAATCGGTTACCAAACGAGTTTTTTTTCTTGTTTTCTCTAAATATCAAACGAAAAACGAAAACCGAAATCGTTACAAAACGGGGCCTTAATTATGCTTCACTTTTCTTTTCTTGTCTTTTCTTGTGTCAGTTTCAAAAGATTCAATGAAGAAGGTATAACCATTCACAAAATAGTTTTGCTAATGCTTTATTGGTAACTCCTCTCTCTCAAACTTAGAAGAGTGAGGGGAGAGATACTACAGATACCCATCCTATTAGCCTGATTATAAACTTAGAAGAGTTATCGTACCATTATTCTTCTCCAATTTATCACTAATTTTCCTCTTTGCTCTACCAGTTGCCACTCTATGAAAAAATTTAGAATTGTTATCTCCTTCCATAATCCACTTAACTCTAGTTTTTTGCCTCATACTTATTTCTTCCTTAAACACCGCCTTCTCAAGTCTATTTCTAAGATCCCTTCTCACCACATCATCAATTCCCCCATCCGTTTCTTTCTTATGAAAAATAATATCATCAATCCTATCCAGAATGACCCTCTTGGTTTCATGAGCATCCCCAAACTACTCTTTGTTCCATATTTTAAATTTTTGCTTCATCCACTCAAGTTTTTTCATACTCTTATATCCCTCTCATCCTTACACCTCACATTCTGACCACCATTCCAAAATCTTGCCCCCAAATCCACTATGCTCCACCCACATACTCTCACATATAAATGGACACGAACCCCACCTAAACTTTGACTCCTTCAGATCAATAGGACAATGGTCCGAATAGTTAAAACCTCTTGCCTAACCTCAGGAAAACAATCCGTCCACCCAACCGAGTAAAAAAACCTATCTAACATTTTACAAACTTGCTTTCTTCTAAAATAGGATCACGTGAACATTCCATTAGCTAAATAAGGGTCCATAAGCTCGATCTCCCTAATGAACATATCGAAATGCCTCACTACTTTTGGTCAATATACCTCATTCAATTTTTTCATCAAATGTCTCATGACATTAAAATCCCCCCAATACACCATCAAGGGCTACACACCCCCAAACAGACTTGTCCATTCTTTCCATAATCGTGATCTAAGCGGAGTATTTGGGCCATACAACCCAATCAACCACCAATCATCCCCATTCTTATGCCTAATCTTAAGAGAGATGGAAAAATCACCCTCAATATTGTCCTCCACAACAATGGATCTCTCATCCTCATTAATGACTACCCCACCCAAACTGCCTATAGATAGTAAAAATAAATAAATAAATCTAAACCTCATTCCCCACACTCTCTTGACAATTCTTCTATCAATAATTTTCATCCTAGTCTCCAACAATATAACAATCTCTGGCCCCACTCTATTCAGCAAATCCTTTATTGAAACTCTTTTCCTCCAAGATCCTAACCTTCTAATATTCCAACTAACAATCTTCATAACAAACCATCTCACCCTCCCCAATCCAACTGCTCCCAGGCTTCATAATTAATTCCTGACTAAAAATTCTTTAACTCTTTAACACTCTTCCTCTTGCTCTTCCTCACACTCCTCACATCTCTCATCTTCTTACTTACCTTTTTTGCCGGAACTAAATTCGAATCCAATTTTTCCAAGAACTTCTTCAAAACCATCCACTTCTCTTTATTAGACACAAAGCACTTCGAAAGGTCACTCTCATTCTCTACTATCCCTAAACCCATCTTACTCTCGTCATCCCCATAACACACAATGGCCCTAGTAGATACAACTTTTGAGATCTCACAACATGTTTCACAGTGGCACAACTATTATCAAGATTCAGAATTTGATCAAAACGTCCACCTGGTTTAATACATAAAGAAGTTGAAATTGGGAGCTTCAAGATTTTCATGGACCCATCACCATCAGAAGAAACCCTCACCACCCCAAACGATTCCATGAACTAAAATACTAGACGAAATTAAACTCTTTAGACACTCATTGGACGAATGACCTAACCTAGAATGCCACAAATAAAACTAGGACGAATTATTTTTCAAACGAAAGGAAGACAGTTTGGGAGAACCAAAATCCAGAGGAATATGCAAGTGCTCTAGAATTTATAAGTCACCAGCTCTACTCCCAGTCCCAATCTACTTCTTAGACTTACAATTCTAAACAACACAACCATAAGAAGAAAACACAACATCAAATCCTGAATCATAGAGTTGACTAATTGACAATAAACTAGCAGACAATTGTGAAACATAAAAAAAATCATTCGGGATAGAAAGAAAGGAGAACAAAGAGGAAAAAACGAATATAATAAAAACAACATGCATTCGAGAACCATTAACGGTAACAATATTTATAGGAGAAGAGGGAAAGACAATTACTAATT